TAACTAAATTAGTTTCTAATCAAAACTTAAATTAATCTTTAATATTAGTTACTAAAATTTGAATTACTTATTTATACTATATTTTAAATTAGTCTCTGATAAAGTTAGTGACTAATTTTATTATTTGAAAAATTAATATTTTATTAAAAATTAATAAATGTTATCATCAATTGACCTGTCATAGGAATAAACCATAATAATACGAAAATATGACCTCAAACCCAACTTTAAGAAAGAGTGCATTATCATCCATAAATATTAAACAGTTCATAAAACTCTAAGCGATTATGAAAGAAAAATGTGGTTATATATGACAAGCATTAGCTTTTTAAATTTGAGAAGATACATAAAGCATCATCTTTATAAATTTGAAATTTTCTTTAATCGCTGAAACAATATATTTTAAAAAACAAAGTTAATAATCTCTGAGCAAACGTAAACGAATATGATAATCGAGAAAGAATACTAAAATGGAAACAAGAATTTGTATACTGATTTGATTCTACTAAAATTTATATTCAATTTCAATCTAAAGAACTTTGAGTTGAATTATTTTAGTAAACTTAGATGCATCAAGTATGAAACACACTCAAGTATAAATACTTATTAAAAATAACTCCAATCAAATGTAAAATCCTATCAACCCTTATTGTTACAAGAAATGCGACAAGAAAGACTTGGAAAGATATCACTGTAATTGAATAATGGTCCTCAAAGCCAATTCCAGCCATTGTAAAGAAGAAGAGAATAATGGGTTGAATTGAGTTGAAGTGGAAGAATGTGATGTGAATTTGATTGTGTGTGGGTTATTTATATATATGTATCGAGACAGGGGAATGAGAAAGAAAAATGGAAAAGATGGGTTGAAAGAATCTACTCTATTTTTTTTTTACCTACAGAATCTACTGCCTTTTTTTGACATAGAGAATCTGTCAACTTTTTTTCTTTTTAATAAATTTTTCTTTATATAATAGAGTATCAATTTTTCTCAGTTCAATAAAAATAAATATTACTTTATAATTCTCAACAATTAGAACTTGTTGAGATAGCTTCTGATACATTTTCCTTAGTTTAGTAAGTCGTATAATTCTGTATAATTAACAATTATTTTGTTATTAAATAGTGTTAAAATCAGATTTTAGAACTAATTCTGCATAGTTAACAATTACTTTGTTATTAGATAGTGTTAAAATCAGATTTTAGAACTAGTGCACTATTAAAATTAGTACAATTCAGTTTAAAATTAGTAGTTCAGTTAAGATTAGTGAGTGCAATTCAGTTTAAAATTAGTAGTTCAGTTAAGATTAGTGATGTTTACAATTCAGTTAGTAATTCAGTTTATATTGTAGTTTACTACAATTTAGTATAGTTCAGTTCAGTCTAGTTTGATAAAACAAAAAACAGTTCAGTTTGTCTGAACAATTTTACAGTTCAGTTTAGACATATTAGTTTTTAGTTAAGTACAATTTTTAGTAGTGTAGTACAGTTCAGTTCCATTTGTCCATCCCTAATGATATATGTTGATTGCCTTTTTGTTCTTCATAAAGACATATAGAGTTTTTTGTGCTTTTGGAGGTATTCATAAATATATTGAGCTATTTGGTTATATTGTATAAGGAAAACTAATTACCTTATTGTTAAGTTTTTGGTGCTTAGAGAATTGGAATTTGCATTGTTTATGTTTAAGTTGCATGAAATTAGTTGAATTGCTAATATTAGTGTTTGAGTATGTTGAAAATGGTCATATTGTTTGTAATTGACTGAATTGATGAACTTAGATTTGACCATTTGAGTATACAGTTTGACATTAAAAAATATTTTTGAATCAAAAGAATATCAATTTGATCATTTCATTTTTCAAATCAGACTTTTGATTAGTGTTATCTAGTACGGCAATGAACAATAATTGTGTAGAGCTGAGCTAAAGTTTGGTTATACAAGTCAAGAATGTAAACTTCATTTTTGTTAAAATAAAGACCAGATCAATGCAAAATCTAATCCATTACGTAGAAAAAATAAAGATTTTGTGAATATTTTTTCTTCTATACTTTTATATACGTTGTTAATTTTACTATTTTTATTAAATGTATGATCAAACTGACGAACTAATAGAAAAAACAACGTTTTTCAAGATTTTCTATTTGAGTGAACTCTGCTTCGCAGTTCCATTTTTTTCAACCATTTTCTTTTGTGTTATTCTCCACCTATATATTTTTTTCTCTATACCGGAAAAGCAGTGCATAAACTTAAAAAGGAAAANTAGTTAGTAATTCAGTTTATATTGTAGTTTACTACAATTTAGTATAGTTCAGTTCAGTCTAGTTTGATAAAACAAAAAACAGTTCAGTTTGTCTGAACAATTTTACAGTTCAGTTTAGACATATTAGTTTTTAGTTAAGTACAATTTTTAGTAGTGTAGTACAGTTCAGTTCCATTTGTCCATCCCTAATGATATATGTTGATTGCCTTTTTGTTCTTCATAAAGACATATAGAGTTTTTTGTGCTTTTGGAGGTATTCATAAATATATTGAGCTATTTGGTTATATTGTATAAGGAAAACTAATTACCTTATTGTTAAGTTTTTGGTGCTTAGAGAATTGGAATTTGCATTGTTTATGTTTAAGTTGCATGAAATTAGTTGAATTGCTAATATTAGTGTTTGAGTATGTTGAAAATGGTCATATTGTTTGTAATTGACTGAATTGATGAACTTAGATTTGACCATTTGAGTATACAGTTTGACATTAAAAAATATTTTTGAATCAAAAGAATATCAATTTGATCATTTCATTTTTCAAATCAGACTTTTGATTAGTGTTATCTAGTACGGCAATGAACAATAATTGTGTAGAGCTGAGCTAAAGTTTGGTTATACAAGTCAAGAATGTAAACTTCATTTTTGTTAAAATAAAGACCAGATCAATGCAAAATCTAATCCATTACGTAGAAAAAATAAAGATTTTGTGAATATTTTTTCTTCTATACTTTTATATACGTTGTTAATTTTACTATTTTTATTAAATGTATGATCAAACTGACGAACTAATAGAAAAAACAACGTTTTTCAAGATTTTCTATTTGAGTGAACTCTGCTTCGCAGTTCCATTTTTTTCAACCATTTTCTTTTGTGTTATTCTCCACCTATATATTTTTTTCTCTATACCGGAAAAGCAGTGCATAAACTTAAAAAGGAAAAAGAAAAGCAATGAGGTATAATTATCTACTGAAAGCCTTCATATAATTGCTACTTTTTCTACAAAGTGTTTTCTATGATATGATGTATGTCATATTAATGGTTTTGTACCTATCTCCTTTTCTAGTACACAACCCCTTCCCCACCCTTGAATAAAATAAACACCAAATCCATGCAAAATCTAAACTTCATTCTTCTTAAAAATAATTCTTGTAAAAAATTGCTAATAATGGCCACAGAATGAAGCAAAAGGGTAGAAATGTAGGTGATGTTGCAGCTGCAGCAGCAGAGGCAGAAGGGTCCTTGGGCACAGGTACTGAACCAAAAACATTTGCACCACTTGTGTTTGTTGTGTTTAACACTGACGAACTTATACTGCAATTTCAATTCAACCATCATATATATGATTTCTGATTTCTCACAAGTTTTTGTTGCAGAAAGAGAGAAAGAAAGATATAACATGGTTCAAGATTTTCACCTGGTGGATGCATACTGACATGTTCCACTACCTGCAATGCAACACATGAATTGATCACTAAGAGTTTATAATCAACCAAGTTGTTTATAATATAGAGATTCAAACTGCTTGGTTTCTCAAATTCAGCGAAATTTAGAAAAAAATATGTTAAATATGTTGTAATTTTTTATCTTTAATAACGTAAAATTAAGTGAATATAGTTTTTTAAATCCAGCTACTTTAAATTTTTGGCATATTAAATAAGTTTCAGTATGACATTTGTTTCCACACATATTTTTTTTTTCAATGTTAGATTGAAATGTCATTTAATAAGTTAAAAAAATTAATATTATTAAATTAAAAAAATTATATTTATTCATTCTTAAAGTTTAAAAATTAAAATATATCAAAAATTTAAACTAAAGATGAATTTCAATTTCATCTTTAAATTAAACACTAAAAACATGCTAACATCAAAATCAAAACTTGTACAAAGTTGGAAGTTAAAAATAATGAAACCTTACAAAAAGTCCTAAGTATTAGATGTCATTTTAACTATAAGGGTCCTTACAAAAGTAGACACATTTATTATTATACACATAATGTTTTTTGGAAAACAAATTGTGATAAAAAGGATTGATTACCTTGGAGACTGAGAAGATATAGGAGGCTTTTGAGATACTTTCTGTAATAAAGTAAGAAAGGAAAAAAGCTTGAGATACTTTTTTAGTTGCTATGTATTCCCCCAAGGCAGTTTGAAAGTGTGTTCATTCAAAGATGCAGTAAAATATTTCCAAAAAAGATGATGCAGTAAAAGCTTATTTTATTTTTCTGCTGTCTGTGCAGAATGGAACCCTAGAATCCACCAGAGATAGTTCTGATCACACCAATCAGAAGCAATGTGCCTGTTCTTGACTTGTTGCACATTTTCATTTGTCTCTTATTCTTAAATTAATAGTCACCTACCCTAAACCTTTATCAAAATATTAAACTTTTCTTTTGTACCAAAATGTCTAATATTAACTCTTAAACATCTTCCTGAGAATAAGAGTTAGAAATAGAATGATAACTAGAAGCCTTACTTGGATTAGTGCTAGTGATGACAGCAACTCCACCAAAATTGCAGCTATTAGGAACAGGGTTCTTCTGATAATACTTATTGAAGGCATAAGAAGCATGGTCTCTAACAGAATTTGGGAAGTAACAGGTTCCACCAGGTTGAATTGCAGAGCAATCAGTGGCACCATAGCCACAAGCATAGTCCAATGCAACTTGCAAGGCTCTCTGTGAGGCAGTAGGACTTGCAGTGCACCAGCTTGCACCTGAGGAATAAATTGAAGAATTATTTGGTGTGATGATTGGGAGTGTGGAGGCTGGAGAAACTGTATCAGGGTTTGAATTAGGATTCAGAATTGGAGATGATGAAGTGATTGGAACTAAGTTGGGAATTGTAGTGATAGGTGTGGTGATGTCCCTTTGAGTGCTTGACTTTGAACCTCTAAATTCTACTTCTTTTTCTTCATCATGCCTTAGTGCTTCCTTTTCTGGCTTACTTGAACCTGTATTTTAGATAACAGTCACAGGGTTATCTATGTTTATTATAATACTATTTTATCACTGCAACCATGTGATTCTGCATCTGTAATGGTGTACCCTTTTTGTCCTTAATTAACTCACTAGTAGTTGGTGTTGTCTTCTCACATCAAATTTAAAAACTTCAGCATTTTTTTTACTTCAATAGCAAAATCACTTACAAATTTTATATATATCTCACATGTTGCTGCATTTTTTTTACACTATATATCTGCCTAAAGAATAGTGTTATGAAATGAAGAATAGTTTTTTTTTTTCACAACTACTGGGAATAAACAGAAATAATATGACTTAGTCTGTAGGCATTTTTTTCTTAGGAGTTAAAAGTGCTGACTGGATTCAAATTGTTCCTGCAGCATTCAACTTAGCATGAAACCAAAACTGTACTTATATTCAAAATTTTGCATAATTGCATAGAAACTAATTATTAGACCCTTATCCTGATATTAGAGTGGATCTAGAAAGGCCACTAGAGACAAGTAGGGTATCTTTTGCATAGAGACATGAGCCAAAAAAAGTTGGACCCTTTGCATCTTTTCAGGAAACGGTAGAACTGGAGCAAGATTGAATACAATACAACAACTCTATTCCATGTGAAACTGCAATATCAACCAAAATACAGAACAGACAGCACTTTCAATTCAAAAATCATGGATAGAAAAAAGTGCTCAATTGGTAAACTATAGTGCAACATAAACAGCATGAAAGAGTGGAAAATAAATTTGGAAAAGATAACTGCACCCAACTGATCTAACATGTTTATCTTATAAACTTGAACAACAACAAAAGTTGAAAGAAAAAGGACTGAGACTATTGAAATCCCAAACTCTGGTGCAGAAAATGCATTTTTGGGGTTACAGAATACAAAAACACTATCCAAGTGGTACAAAGAATCTAGGACTAAAAGAGAAAAGAAGAAAACAATACACCATAAAGATAAAGAACACAAAAGGAAGCAGTTCAAAACAGAAGAAAATGAGCAGAGAGGAACATTATCTTAAAGCAGAAGCAACTTAGCTTTATATTGTATATCCATAGAATAGAAGAATAGAGAGAAAGGAGGCAAATGAAGAAAAGGGGAGAAGCAGAAAGAGACCAAAGAAAGAAAAATGGAAACTAAATTACCTGAACAAAGGAAATGAGCAAGTACAAGAAGTAGCACATAGTAATTCACACTTCTTTCCATGTTGACTCTTGTTCTTGTGCTGCTTTGGTATACTTTTTGTTGTTCCTTCTTCTTCAATGTGGCTCCCAAATAACACTTGTTCTTCCCTTGAAACAGCTAGAGAGAAATGAAGATATCATAAACTAGAGATGATGTGTGTGGTGTTCAGTGAAAGGTGTTTTGATGGCTATTCATGTGAATGAAAAGATACACATGAATTTATAGAGCATGTGAAGTGTGAGAGAGAAGGTAGGAGAAGATTTGAGAAAGGAAACATGGTGTGTGAGAGGGTGCAAGCAAGAGAAGGAGGGAAAATGTGGGGCAAAAGGGTTGAAAAGAAAGTAAAGAAAGAATGGAAGTGTTTGGAATTTAGGGTGAGTGAGTGTTAGTGATCATTGTAATGATGGTGCTGATGTGAGTTGCTGTTACCTTTCTCTATTCTATGCTTTCTTTTTACTGTTTTATAGACTTATTATTGATGCTATTTATTATTATTCTTCTTCATCACTTTCTTTTTCTTTTTTGCATTCCCTTTATTCTTTGCTGAATATAAAACTTGCTCCAATTATGTCAAAAACTTGGCACTCTGCTTGATCATTAACCAATAATATGATGCATAAATTGAATATATAATTGTGTGAGCCTTTAGTTATGCAAGGATTTAAATGGCAAGTGGTGTTTTTTTGCAATTGGGGTATATAGTGTATATGTTATTTCAATACCTATCATTCTATTATTGTTTTGTCTTCAGTCACTTAACTAATTCAAAATTTTAAATCAAATCAATTAAATTTGATAATAATTAATTAAAATTTTAGATTTATAATTTATCAATCCAATAACTCAAAAATAAATAAATGAAGAAATCTTTTAATTATTAATTGTTATGTATTTAATTTTACAAGAAAACCATGAACTTATTTTATAGTTTTTTTTTAAAATTATTAGTTTATAGAAGTCAATTATATCAAAATATAACTTATACTTCTTTGAATGACAGGATTATATGTAATTTTTCTTAAAAAGTAATATTTAAAAAAAACTTTGGAAGTCTATCCAACAATTACTTTTATTAATTCAAACTAAATCAATCTGCTTTTAAAAATTAGTTTGATTTTAAAAGTACACAAAATTTGAAAATATTAAACAAATTAAAACTAATAAATTTTATTAGCTAACGTTTTATTTTATTCTAAATATGATATAAATGGTAATTTTTAAAACAAAAATATCCCTTCACTAAAAATGTGTCTGTGACTTTTATTGCAACTTATTGTATTCTTCAATAAAAGAAATATATTGTGTTATTGAGTGCTTTAAAGAAAATGATTAGATAATAACATCTATAAATAAGCTCTTTGATACTTGCAGTGATGCTTCAAAATTTAATCGAAATTATTGTTTTTATTTTGTTTGGGCTACCTTCTTTAAAAAAAAAGCTTAATACGTTATTTGGTCTCTAGTTTAAGACGATATGTTCAAAGTGATTCTACTTTTGAAATCTCTCCAAACTCTACATAACAGTTTGTCACATAATTGGATTGGTCATCTATTATTGACTAAAGTGAACATTATGCTGTTAGGTTTTGATCGTCGTAAGCAAAAAGAACAAACTTGAACTGTATTTTCCAAAATATGGAACAATAATAAACTTTCGAGAAAAATAAAAACACTTTGAACAAATCGTCCCAAACTAGAAACCAAATGATGATTAAACCTTAAAAAAAATCCATTTTAAGTGATTCCATGTTTTTGTTGCAACCATATGCAGACTTTTTCATGTAACATGTCACTATTTGTTTCTCATATAAGTCAAAATCTCTTTGAACCTTTTTTTTAATGAATCAAATCTTTGAAGTGACCCAAGTATTCAAATGTTTAGTACTCACCAAGAGATCTTAAATTCAAGATTTTGCATTATAATAATAAAATATTATAAAAATAATAATATTGTAAATTTTTTGTATTTAAAAAAAAACTTAAAATTAACATGACTTAATGGAGAAAAAAATAAGTAAAATAAAGACATATTTAACTTCATTAAGTATAGTTCAGAATAAATCCTCACCACACAAAAACTTCCATACATGGATGGATCATGATATACCTAAAATAACTTGCCAAGAGTGTTCTTCTTGCTAAAAAAAATACCGTCTTCAATTCCAGTGAATGTTCATACACTAAATAAGCACAAGGCTCAAAAATACCTCACAATATATTTTATCTATAACATAAATTAAAACTTGTACAAAAATATTGCACAACATGGCTAATTTTATCATTTTATATTTGTTGATTACATTATTTAATAATTTTATAAAATATGATATAGTACTTTGGTTTAACATAATTACCAATTAACTTTACAACTTTGAACTAATACTTTAATTAGTATTTTTGTTAAAGATGTGTTTGTCTCCTAATAGAACATTGTCCCATGCATTTGGATAGAAATTTAATTGATTTGAGGTGAAAGTTCACCCAAAAAGTGATCCTTCCAGCGATCTTTTCCTAATATGGACTTTAGACCAATTAAAGAAGAAAGACATGGCTAAGGGGATAATATAATCATGGCCTTCTCCAAGTTCTTAATAAAGGCACTTCTTGACTTTCCTCCATATATATAAAAATTGTGTTATAATGTTTTTAAAGACGAGATAAAAGTGTAATTATTTGATTTGATTCAAAATCTGTATTGATTAGATACATATAAGTGTATCCAATATTTCTTAGTATCACTTTCAGCAGAGTCAATTAGTATAATCGAAGTTTGATTTTCTGATCACATTTGAAAAATGGTTTATTGACGACAAGCTTTAAGACGATCTAATCTAATTAGATTTTCTTTGAGTTAATTTTTTTCAATAAATGTTAAGTTTTTCATTTTTAGTGTTGATCACATGTACGACGAGATTTTGTACTTACATGTAAAATATGAGTTCAATAGATTTATCTATGCTAATCTAGATCCCTATTGGTATTGTTATTTGTAAAATAGGTTTTTTAGAAGTAATCTTAACTTTTCTTAACATTTTTAGACCTTTCTTTAAAGGAGCACGATTGAAGTGAGAGTTAATTAATTTTATATGCTCAATTAAGTTGATTTAGATAATTTAAATTAAATTGAAGTGAATTTTTATATGTTGTGATTACTTTAAAATGGTAGTCATATTTAAATCTATTAATCTTAAATTGAAATTGAGATTTTGAGGTGTCATTTTAAGTTTATTTACGAGTAATAAAATGACTGTTATATTTTCACTCAAGAAAAATGAAAACATGACAAATTTCTATCCTTTGACTGAGCTAAAATATAAGATTCATCATGTTGAAAAAACTAGTATTTAGAATGTTAGAATACGTCTTTTCAACTCCTTATTCTTAGTGGTACGTTGCACATACTATATCATAGTCTATGATCAAGTTATTAGAAAAGTAGATATCCTTTTTCCTTAATGAGTTATAGGTACAATACCTCCTAAGTGTCATCACCACAACATCCAAACTAAGGCAACAGTATCCAAAATGGGTCATTCAAGTAACATACCGATACCGCCAAAGCAAAAAAGGCCCAAAGTTAAATACTGGAGATAGGTTTAATACCTATTTTGGTCCCTCGGTTTTAGAGGTTTGTTCAAAGTTAGACGTTCACAATTATCCCATATTTTATAAAAAACGGTTCGAGTTGATCCTTTTTGCTTACGGCATTAAAAAACAAACGGAACTTAGCCAGACTGTTCAATTTTTCATTACGTGGCAACTGTGTGGCTTGATTGACGTGGCAACGTTACAAGATTACCCAATATCGGAGTTTGACACACCGAAAGCTCTGCTCTATGCTCTCAACTTATGAAACTGACGAGCAAAGCACGCGGATGCCTCCTCGTGATCGATGACCGGTATCGTCTGATCGAAACTTTCATCGATGGTGATCGTTGTCGCACTCTCTGAGCCAGCGAGGAAGCCATTTTCAAACTCACTGACAACATAATTGATGTTTACACATTTTTCAATTTGAGAAGAAATAAATTAAGTGGAAGTTGAAAATTTTGATTCGCTTCTGTCCGAGGATCTTTGCCATGAGTAAGGGCTTTCTCATATCTTTGCCACAACCACCAATGCTTCAGTAAGGGTTTTGAGATATGTTCTTGATAGTTATCAATAATCAAACCCTAATAGATTTTCTAGTAATTGAATTGTGGATGAATAAGATGGTGTGGATCGTATATAATAGTCCTTCGTTTTTCCTTTAATGGGTATCTCTCTATTCCTCCATATCTGAATCAATTCATATTTTTTTCCACTTTTGATTGTTCAAATCCACTTTTCCTTTTCGTGAAGCTTTCCAAATTTGGGCAGTTGCTTTTTCCAGTTTGTTTTTCTTTCTTGGAACATAGAAATTGACATAAGAGAGTGAGCACACAGAGTAGGAAGAATGAGAGTGTCACCGACGGCAACGCCAAACACAGTATCAATGACGTCTTCGGTTGCACCGCAAAAGTACAGGGGTGTTGGCATTGCTCCTTGGTTTTTTGGTGAAGAAGTAAACCCTAGTTATTTTGAAATACTAGGTGCCACGTCAATTAGGCACACAGTTGCCACGTAATGAAAGATTGTACATGTTGGCTAAGTTCTGTTAGTTGTTTAACGCCGTAAGCATAAAGGATCAACTCGAACCATTTTTTACAAAATATGGGATAATTGTGAACGTCTAAAAAAAGGTAGGACAACTTTGAACAAACCTCACAAACCAAGGGACCAAAATAGGTATTAAACCAAGGAGATACAAGGGTGATGTAGCGAATCAAAATCCGAGAGGAGAGAAATAACAAAAAATGCACAGCTGACAACTTGGAATATGCATCACATGGAGTTAGTTACAAGGGGGAGTTAGTTACAAGGGAAAAATGCTTAAAGTAGAGAGAGGGAAAAGGGAGGGGAAGGTGGGTTATGGAAAGGGACTACATTCTTGGGTTTCCTTTTGTTTTTATGATATTTCTTAATATAACAACAAACTTGGTCTTGAATCACGCTGATCAGACCAAATTCCATAATACAACTAGTGTTTCTATTTTCTTGTGTTGATTTCATTGTTGGTTCTTATCAACTGGTATCAAAGCTCTTGATCCCAAGAGCTTGAATGATTATCACACGATTTACAATGGAGAGCATAATGGAGAATGTAGAACGAAGCTTACAAGCTCAACAATCGAAGCTTCGTGAGATCAAGCAGATCCTGATGCAAAGAGATAGACCTCAATTTTCTCGATGGTCCCATCAACCACGACGTCGGACAAGAATTACGGATGAGGAAGAGGAAGGGAGTAACTATTTATGTCCAGAGCGGGACCATAGAGAAGGGATGGGATCCACCTCAGGTGTATGATTTTGGGGGAAGGAAGCTGGAGATTTTGGTGTTTAATGAAGATGACACATGCAGTTGACTCGCTTAGGTGGAACG